CAATATAGCCGTTGAAAATCAAGAGATTGATTTTTCCTTACCAACGAGTAGAATTTCTTCATTCAGGACTTAGATAATTTCTCTATTCTTTTCTCACTTGTCCGCTTTCTGAGAATTCCAGTCTTCAGTGAGTCTTCCGATTCTTAGCTGACAAATCCGGATGAGTCATTTTCAGACTTCCGGGTGAGAAGGAGATCCGCGCTAGTCTTCCGATTTGGATGACTTAGACTTCAGCAGGTTGTAGCGAGACATCCGGTTCTTATGTAGTCTTCCGGATCAGAGGATTTTCGTTTGCTTCAGAAAATCCTTACTTGTCTCTGACATTTCCGAACAAGATATCCGATTTCCATATCACTGAATTTGATTAAGTCTTCAGGCATCAAAACGCTTAAAGATATATCATAGCTTTTATTGGAAATCTCAAGTGCTCGGTTTTGACAGTATTTCTAAAAAGAAAAATTACATTGAATATTTGGGGAGACCTAAAGTCCCTAATACATTCTAAATACATCATCATCAAAATCTATAATATTTTTCCCAACAATATATTTAACATCCAAACAACATTTGGATTTCAAATTATGAATTTTGAATTTCATGTGTTTTGCCAAATGTTGGAATAAATTTAAATTTTGGGATTTCAAATTATAGATTTGAAATTCAAGAATTGAAATGAATTCCAAAATCCAAATGCTACCTTATGAGTTTTAGATTCCTGTTTATTTTATTTATTTTAATATCAATATATAAATTCATTATATGTATTACATCTTGTAAGAAGAGAGAAATTTAACTATAAATTCATAAAAAATACTGTATGTAAACATATCTATATGTAAAATTTTCATTTTAGGACCACAATAAGAAAAGTCCTCAATATAACTCCAAAATAAAAACCATTAAAATTTCACCATAAATAGATTAAAACATAACAAATATCAAAATATGAGCTTCATGTTTTTATCCCAAAACAATAATTGTAATATAAGATTGTATATGAATAATTTATAATGTTTTTGGTAATGTACATAATTGATAATGTAAATATATATTTAACATCTATTTTGGAATAAAAAAATTTATTTTGATATTTTAGTTTTACTTTAATGCTTTTTTTTTCAAAATCTTTGGAGTATTCTTTCTAAACCCCCCCAAAATAAAACATTATTATCTCTAATGACTCAAAATAAAAGAAACCGGGAGTACATTTGTTGAAAAAATCCAGAGAAGATAAGTCTTGGGATGCACATATTTGGGTACCTTGATGAGCACGGGTCAAAGCAGGCAATCACGAAGTACAGTAATTGGATGATAATTGATCCGAATCATTTTTGCACTACAAATTACAAACAAACCCGAAATCAACATACATTTCTCTTTAGCTACCAAACCAAAATTGAAATTACAATCCCCAATTTCAATTTAATAGTTCGTTTGGTACACAAAGTTGAAAAAATTAGAATTAAATTAGGAGTTAAAATTGTAAAAAATTAATTTGGATGAAATTAAATTCTCCAATTCTAATTCAATATTGGCACTACTAATTCCAAAACAATATATTTTTGTACTATCAAACAGCAAAATTAAAATTATTTTTCTCAATTTCAATTTTATACTTCCTTCATCCAAAGTTATTTTCACGTTTACTATTCACTTATCTGAGTCAAACTTTATTCATTGTATTAAATTACTTTCAGTAGGTATCTCTTTAATAAAATAATATATGGATGTTAAATCTAATTTTGTAAATCTTTTAATGTTGTTTTTTAATATGTAGTTCTTATATTTAAATTACGCATTATTTTTTATATAGAGTCATCTGAAAATAACTCTAATCAAACATCGTAATTAACAATGGAAAGATAATTTTTAAACGAAAGGAGTAGTTTGAATACCTTGTATAAATTAATAAACCTTGGAAGAAAGACCAAAGTAGGACTAAAACATTAAAAATATACTAAAATAGGACTTCCATGTTTTTATTCCCGAAATAGGACTTACATTACCATACATGGTCATGTTAATTGGTTTATTCGTTGTGCCCACGCCTTAGAGGGGGTGAATAAGGCGTTTAAAAACTTTTCGGAGTTTAATAAAAACGGTGTTGGCAAATGCGGAAGCAATATATAAAACGCAAAAGTAATAGGGTAAAGTAATTGCACACCGATTTTATACTGGTTCGGGAACTCCCTACTCCAGTACCTTAAGGCTCCTCCTTAAGGATTTTCAATCCACTAGAACGCCTTGACCGTCTCAATACGATCGTCACGAGGGAACCAGTCTTTGGCAAACAAACCTTTGCCAATAGGTTTACACTAGATCGACAATACTTCACGCCTTGAAGTATCAAACTAGCTTGAGGATTTTCCAACGGCTATCCCCAACCGTGCACTGAAGATTTGCAGGATGTCTTCAACCTAGAGATTTGCAACGGCTATCTCCAACCGTCTCAACAAGGATTTCACAGATGTCCTTGACCGCTTCCGGAGATTTCACCACGGCTATCTCCAACCGTCTCAATGAAGATTTTACAACGAATATCTTCAACGTATTACAAGGATATGAGAATTTGAATGAATCAACACCACCTCAAGAATAAGAAATACAAGTTTGTGTTGGTGTGATGATTTCTATACACTAACAATTACAACTCTCTTATAGATAATATGAGTATATATCTCTTTTAAATCAAGCTCAATGTGGGTTCAAGAAAATATATTGAAGAAATGGCTCTTTAATAGCCTAATAAAAATCAGAGATTTTTATGAACACAAGAAGAAAGAATTTAGAGATTTTAGCAAGGCTTGATTGATTAAAAACATTGAAATGGTTTGAGTATTTATAGGGATGGATTATGAGTTGTTTGAAATTGAAAAATAGCTGTTAGAGAAGAATAATTAACTCCTAATACCATAATTAAAATAATCCAACCGTTGGGTGTGAAAAGACAAGAAATAAAGAATCTGGTCTCCGAACGGTCCATAACATCGACCGTTTCAGTCCAAACGGTCGACCGTTCGGGGTAACATTCAGATTTCTCCAACGGTCAGTAGGACGGTCGGCCGTTTGGGGGTAACGGTTTACCACATCGACCGTTCGTTACTGAGTGCGCAATTTTAAAATAAATTTGATAAAATGTTAATAACTTTTTCAACACTAATCAGAATTGAGTAATTCAAGAACCGGCGATCTCGTATTGAGAAGAGTTATAACTTTAGTTAAATATTTTGAAAAAAATATATTTTTCGAAAATATTTACCAAATGTATTTTAAAATTAATACCCAAGTAAAAAATCTTTTTTGTGTGTGTGCAAATTTTAGCTTGAGCTTAGAGATATATCATTCAAATATCTTTAACAATAAATGACTCTAAGCTATTCTATGCTAGTCCTGTGTGAGTGAACGTATTGACGCAATCAACGCGTTTTAGTGGATTTTGTCGTTCCTACATAATTGAACAAACGTTAGCTCAATTAAATTATTTGTTAACATCAAAACATGAGATTAAGCATACCAAGGCTAACAGGTCATATATATACCTTATCAAAAACGTATAGTAATTTGCACATGTACACAATAGGGCAAAGTCACATTACCACAGTGCAAAGTCCTATTTCGGGGAAGAAAACGTGAAAGTACTATTTTGGTACTTTTATCTATATTTTAGTCCTATTTAGAATGATTTCTAATAAACCTTCTAAAAAAGAAAACCAAGTATAAACTCATAAAAATATGTAAAACTATCTATATTTGGCATATGCATTTTAAGAGGGACAATAAGAAAACTTATCTATATAACCCCAAAATAAAAACTAATGCGTATTCTTTGATCTCCCTCAAAAATAAAAAAAGAATTCTCTCCAACCACTCAAAATAAAAACCCAAAAAAATCAAGAAACAAGGGAAAGGGACAAAGAAGCAGAGGCCGTCGCCATGGCCGTCATCCCGCCGGCGACAGAGTTCGGAGATCTATGCGACGAAATCGCCGAAACCATCTTCTCTTTCGCCCCCTGAAATCCCTAGCGACTGGAGACCGTTTCCAAATCATGGCGGCAGTTGATTGCCAGAGTCCGGCTGCCCCACCCGCCCGCCACCGACTCCTGTCTCGTTCTCCACCTCTGGTCCTTCGGATGCGCCGAAATCTCTAAAAAATCCGTCTTCTTGAAGCTGCACTACCCCCACAACGCCGAGCTCTGCACGGTCGACTCCTCCGCCCCGAACAAATTCCCCTTCTTGATCGATTCATGCAACGGGTTAATCCTCTACGGCGCCGTGGACGACAAAAAGACTTGGAATTACATCGTACATTCCCAGGTTTCCGACCAATCCATAGCCCTCCCTCCGTCGAACTCAGTTTACAGACCCGCATTCGTCGCACTGGCCTTTGACCCGAGGAAGAACGCCCAATTCAAAGTCGTGGGCTTTTTCTGGAACGAGGTGAATCCCCTCTCCAATTCTGTGAACTCTATGGTTTTCAAGCCTGAATCTTGTGAGTGGATGCAGAAACAGGGATGCTCTTGAATTCAGGTCTGATTTCTGAAGAGGGCTTCGTGTTTGGACAGTGCTTCGGCCCTGCAATCTATATGAACTCAAGATTACATCTGATATGGTGCTTCTGTCTCTTAATCTTCGATGAAGACGGCGATGAATTCACAGTTTTGCCACTCCCAAGAAACCCCAATGGATCATCATATTCATACCACAATCCCTGCCACCGCTCGCTATGGGAATCGGAGGGCAAACTGAATCTTTGTGACCCGGAGAACACGGGTTTCGAATCTGGGAGTTCAGCAACAACACCCTTGAATCGTTATGGAAATTGCTTCGGTTTGTGGTTCTGGACGATTTAATTTCAGAAACGAGGAGGGAGACGGGGTGAGAGTGACTGTGGGGAATTCCATAAGGTCCTCTGGGTTCACGAGGATTTGCAGATTCTGTATATTCATGTGGTTGTGTGCAAGAAAATCGTAGGGTACAGCTTTGAGACTAAGAGGGTTGTGGGGGTTTGGTCCTATGGAGATGTGGGAGAAGATTTCCAGCTTCGTACATCCATTGGAAACAACTATTAGAAGAAGGGTATTGTCGAAGGCTTCTTCTGGCAGCCGCGCTTCACACAGTGCAGATCGGAGAGGGAAAAGAGAGGGAGTACTCTATCGACCAGAATGAAAACAGAGATGACGGGCAGACCTTTAGGAACAGCGCATCTTGAGGGAGAGGTAAAGGTGAAGGTCGTGGTTGCAGGAGTACAATCAACAATTCTTCATCTTTCTCAACATTGGCCCGGCGGCTATGGTACATTTCTATTTTTTTATCAAATTCATATAGAAACTCTCAAATTAAGAATAGCTAAGGGCACAACTCGGTGGTGATTGACATGCTAAATAAGAGGTGCATTTATTTGTTTCAATCTCTTTAATCCCTTTGATGCACTTCCTACGGGTGGCAGAGCTGGGCTAGGCGAGCAACACCACCTGGCTTGCTGGATTTGGGATTGGCTTTGGTCTCTGGTATCACATATTTCATTTCTAGAATTTTACATCCGAGCATATCTAACATTGCTTCTAAGTATCAATTATCTAACATGGCATGAATGGCTAACGGGATCAATTTGTCTCTTGGGTTCTAAATTGCAGAAGAAGATATGCTGGGAGTTTCTTGTTGCTGGTCTGAGCAAGGCATTGAAGCTGGACAAGTTGGACTTAGATTAATTACCAAGGGCGATAGACAAACTACAGTCTCAAAGGAGTGGAGTGTAGGTGCGAGCAACATTGTTGATGGAAGGTGTGTTTTCTTTTACTTGTAGGGTTGCTTCTTGAACGCCATGTCAGTACTTATAGCTTGCTGCTGGTAACACCAAATCTCTCAAGTTTTTTATGAATATATCGGTGTGTTAAAAAAGTTCTAAACCAAGTAACCGAAGCCGTTACTTTCTCTCTCTTCGCTCTCGCGAAAATTTTCCGATCCGAGACCTGGGACTGCTGCGTGCAATTTGATCCTTGTTTTTGCTGATTTGTTGATTGATCCTTGTTCCTTTGTACTCGCCTGGTGATTTCGCACGGATTGGTGGCTTATTTCGTGCGATTTGGTGGAGTTTTGAGAAATCTGGAAGTTACGAGCCTGATCAATTTCCAGATTTGTGCAGTTTGATGCGTACTCATGGTGAATGATGACCCCCCAGGGCTTCGCCCTCCTGCTATGGAGGTCTATAAACCATCAATTGTGAATTCGAAGACAGATTTGGGAATTTTGGAAAAAATGGATTCGCAGATCCAATTTCAGAAAGTGACGGAAATGGAGCTCAAATCTCCAGACCTTCAAGGTGTGATATCTGAATCTATTGTTGCTCCTATTGAATTACAAGATGCTGTAAATTCTCCCCCGTTACCAGAAATTGTTCAGGTTGAAGATATCACTGATGAAGATTTTCCTCCTTTGCCTTCAAAAACTGTCAAACCTACGTTATCTGCTCAAGAGGTAACGTCTGATTCAAGTGAGCATTATGTTATTTCCCTACAGAACATACGTCAAACATCTTCTATCTATGGGCAAAACTGAAGAAGCAATTGAGTTTGCACAGAAGTTTATCCCAAGTGCTGTCCAGAACAATGTGACTATTGGTAAAGAGTTGTCCAAGGAAGGTAATCTGGATCACAAGCTCAATTTGACTAATACTTCTGATGGTAATACTGCAAATTTTCCCAAACATATTGTATCTTTTATGGAAAAACCTACTGCTAGTCAAGGGAATAAATCTCATACTCCTACTGGACTAAATCCAGTTTCTAGCTCAGCTATGAAATCTGTTGGTTATAGAGAGATGAATCCTTCTTCTTACAAACCTAGTTATGCCCAAACTCTCAGCCCTATTAATCAAACTACTGGCACTGCTATTCCTCCTGTCTCTTTCCCAGATAGAACTGTTTTTTATGCATAGAGATACTCCTACAGTTCGTTTTGCTGAAGAAGAGATTGAAAGTTTATCTAGGATTGACAGGTTTACACTTGTTGGAAAATTCTCACATGGGCAACCAAAATTGGAAGTTATCAAGAAGCATTTTGCTACACAATATATTCTAAGGGGTTAGGTAACAATTGGCTGGAGAGGGCCAAGACATGTGTTTCTTACATTTTCAAATACACAGGATAGCACTGATATCTTGCTCAAAAACCAAATTGCTTTTAATGGAGCTAATCCAATGAGGCTATTTAGATGGACTTCAGACTTCAATACTGAAACAGAAACTGCTATAGCTCCAGTGTGGGTATTACTGCCAGGTCTACCCATCCATTTCTTTGATATGGCAGCACTGGCCCTTGTCTGCAAACCACTTGGTAAAATACTGGGAATTGACCCAACTACTATGAACAAATCCAGACCACATGTTGCAAGAGTCAGGGTGGAAATGGATTTAATGGCTCCATTAATCCATAAACTGTTTATTGGCACATCCACAGTAGTAGGCAAAGAAGATGAAGGCTTCTATCAGACTGTTGAATATGAAAGAATTCCATATTACTGCTCTAGGTGCTTCAAGCAAGGACACACTGCTGAAAAGTGTAAATTGGAAGAGGAGAATCATTATGATGCAGAAAAAATGAGGAAGGGGAAACATATACTGACAGAGGAGCCACCAAATCAACTTAAACCTACTAGGCGTGGGAGAAGTAGGAGCAGAGCCCCACCCTCTACTCAACACCAGCAGATGGTTTATGTTCCTAAAACCTTGGGTCTTAATACTCAACCTTCACAGTTATATGAAGGTCAAACATCCAAAGGGCAAAACACTGAAAAGAACAAAACTGACCCAAAAAAGAATGACTTCCAGGTGGTACACAAAAAGCAGTTCCCTAAGCAAACAGCATCTCATTCTAACAAAACCTCTCCTGCTATAGAAAATCACAATGCCAAAGAGCCAGAACCAATTGCCTTGAAACAATTTGCCTTGACACCAACTATTGGCCTCATTCCTAAACCACCTACTCATGAGGGGCACAAACACCCTGCTAACTCTCAACCTTTGGATGTGTTCAACACTTTTGAAGTTCTGCAGCAATTAAATATGGAACACACAGGACTGAACCCTAAGGCCTCAGAGTTTCATCCCTCTACCATTCCAGGGGGTAGGGAGGAATCCAAATCTAAAACACTTGATGATAGTGGCAAGGCTTTTCCAATTCTGCCTATTGCTGACCTGATCAGACTTGTGGCATGAATTCTTCAGCAAATACTATCCCCTCAAAAAACGGTGTTCCTCTTGCAGAACTGGATCCCGACCCCAAATCAGGCGAGGATGACATTGAAGAAGTATGGTCTGATGAGGGATATGCTAGCCCTATTGGAGATGAGGATTTCTTTTCTTCACCCATGTCTGAAGATAAATCTAAGAACAACATAACTGAAATTCCAACTGATACTCCAGCTGCCAATACAAGGAAAGGAGCCTCCAAAACTAAACCCCCTAAGCCACCTACTGGGAAGAAATCTGGAAAAACCAGAACTTCCCCCCCTCCCAAAACAGCTCATTAATGGATTCCACACTTGTGTGGAATGTAAGAGGGATCTCCTCCAGAGGATCACTCGATAGATTACACCATCTGGCTCAAAAGCTTCATCCTCATATAGTCTGCATTATTGAGCCTTTTAGAGATGCAGAATTCTGTGCTTCTACTGGAAAAAAGATTGGTTTTATACATCACCTTGTTGGATGTCAAGGCAAAGTTTGGATATTCTGGAAGGATACCTACTCCATAGATCTGTTAACTAATGAAGAACAAGTAGTCTTTGTGAAAGCTACTCAGCTTTCTAGCTGCAGAAATAGTGTTATTGCATTTGTCTATGCAAAAACAAAGAGTTGGCTTAGGAAGGACCTCTGGAATTCATTAGTTCTGTTTGCTCAGTCTCATGACAATGCTACTCCCTGGGCTGTGGTTGGAGATTTTAATTGTAGTTTACGTCTTGAAGAAAAGCTTGGTGGATTACCCATGTCTCTTTCTGCTAGTTGGGATTTTCAACAATGCATCATGGATTGTGGTCTCCTGGAGGTGGCTACTTATGGAAATACTTTCACCTGGTGGAATGGTAGAAAGAAGACCCAATCCATTTGGAAAAAGCTGGACAGGTTGCTTGTGAATGAAGCTTGGGCTGATACTCTTAAAACTAAAGTTCAAGCACTTTCTTTGACTACTTCTGACCATGCCCCTCTTCATATCTCTGTCACTATACACACCACTTCTAATGCTCCTAAACATTTCTCCTTCCTTAATGCCTGGACAACACATGATGATTTCCATCAAATTGTACAGAAAGCTTGGGGAGTTAATGTGACAGGCCCACCTATGTTTCAACTCTATGCCAAACTTAAAGCTACTAAGTTGGCTTTGAGTAAATGGAATAAAGAGGTCTTTGGGAATATATTTCTTAAACTGGAGGAACTTGAGGCAAATGTATAACAGGCTGAGGAAGTATACCAACAGGAAGACAGTGAGGAGAATCTGCTCAAGCTAAAAGCTATTACAGCTCAATATACACATCAGTTGCACCTTGAGGAAATGTTTTGGAAACAAAAAGCTCATATCCAATGGATTGAAGGAGGGGACAGAAATTCCAAGTATTTTCACTCTTTGGTCAAGGACAGAAGAAGGAAGCTCTACATACATAAAATCAAAGGGCATGATGGCCATTGGATTGAGGATCATCAACAGATTTCTAGCCAGGCTATTGATTTCTTTCAAAAGCTCTTTTCTGAGGAATCAAGAGGCACAATTGATTATTCTTCTTTAGCCTGTATCTCTCCCAGGATCACTGATGAAGACAATCAACAGCTTGTGGCCTCTCCTTCCTTGGAAGAGGTAAAGGATGCAGTGTTCTCTTTAAACCCTAACAGTGCTGCAGGTCTGGATGGCTTCACTGGCCATTTCTTCCAAAAATGCTGGGACATTATACACTTGGAGATTTTTGCTATGGTTTGTGGTTTCTTCAAAGGGGATTACATGACTAAAGGGATAGCTCACACTGCCATTGTCCTACTTCCAAAAGTGGACAGCCCTAACACATTTGCTGACTTTAGACCCATTAGTCTATGTAATTTCAGCAGCAAAATCATTTCTAAGGTAATGGCTTCTAGGCTTGCTGGAATACTTCCTCATGTGATATCTTCATCACAGTCTGGGTTTATTCAAGGGCGATCTATATCTGAAAATATTCTTATCACTCAAGAATTATGTCCTGGGATGCAACTTGGTAATAGGGATATTGTGTTAAAATTGGATATGGCCAAAGCATATGACATGGTTTCATGGTCCTTCTTAATTAAAATCCAAAGGCAGCTGGGGTTCTGTGTACAATGGATTGATATGGTTTTTAGAATGCTCTCCAACATATGGTATACTGTCCTCATTAATGATCACAGGGAAGGTTTCTTCACATCCTCTAAGGGTTTGAGACAAGGGGACCCCATTTCCCCTAGCCTGTTCATTATTACAGCTGAGTTTCTTTCCCAACTTCTCAACCAAAGGAGTCAGTGTAAAGACATCATTCCTTTTACACAACCCAAGAAACTCCATCCCATTAGTCATTTAGCTTTTGCGGATGATATGATCATTTTTACTTCTGGGAGGAGGAATTCTATACTTAAAATTATGAAGGAGCTTCATTTATATGAACACATCTCTGGTCAACTGATAAGTACTCATAAGAGTTCCTTTTATATGCATCCAAAAAGTGCTGTTATGACCACTCAAAGAGTTGCAGACCTGATTCAAGTCCAGCACCAGGCCTTTCCTTTCTATTATTTAGGGTGCCCCATTTACAAAGGAAGAATGAAATGCTGTTATTTTGTCAACTTGCTGAATAGAGTGACACGGAAATGTCAAGGATGGCAAGGGAGGTTGCTTTCCTTTAGAGGTAAACAAGTTTTGATTAAAAGTGTCCTACAAGCTCTACCTGCCCACCTTTTCTCTGCTGTGGAACCTCCCAAGGGTGTTTTGGCTAAAATGGAACAAAGTTTCTCTAATTTTTTCTGGGGAAAAGCTGAACATAAGCTTCATTATCATTGGAGTTCCTGGGATCACATGAGCTATAACACTACAGATGGTGGCCTGGGTTTTACTAGAATGAAAGACATA